GCAGGCCCATAGTTCACATTGAAATATTATTCGTTTTTGTTGATTACGATTGTTCTTCATTTTAAATATTGCATTCTTTTTCCTGTTTTTTGTGCACTACTACAAATAAAATATGTGCAGTGTGCACAGGAATTCAGTCATTTTTTTTCCAAACTATAGTCCTGCCCCCGACAGTGTCTGAGGGACAGTGAACCGGCCCCCTGTTTAAAAAGTTTGAGGACCCCTGATCTAGAGCTTCACAGGAGCATCTCCATTGCCCCAAGGAGCAGACCGAGTTGTTTCCCAGCCTGAGAGTGCCCTCTGGTGTATGCAGGACATGGTAAAGCTCTTAATTTATTGAAGGGGTTTTTACTTGCCTTCCTCCTTCTCTTAATACTTTGCAGCCAGCGTGGTTAATTGTGAGAGGCTGCCAGGTAGATGCAAGCCATAAAGCACCGAGAGATGAGCTCCGGACCAGTCCTGCGTGTCATCTATGTTTATACACCTAGCAGCTGATGATCATTTTTTAATTACACTTGTATATCAAGCAGGAAGCTTCTGGGCCCTGGTATCTTGGTTCCGATTTCCTTCCAGCAATGCCTGGCAGGTCCCCAGAACCAGCCTGTGGCAGTCCTGCTCCCCCTGTTCCGGGCACTGCCTCTGGGCACAGACTTGGGGCTCCTTGATGAAGCATAGCAAGCAGAGCCGCTCCAGTGCTAGGCTGCATTTCAAACCTCTGGCTGAACAGGGAAACTGGGCTGCAAAGAGGTAGGAGCAGCTTTTTATAAACAAACAAAACCTAGCCCTTTTCTCTGGGGGGAAAGCAGGGCATTTAGAAGAAGTTGTGGCAGCATGAGCATGTGTTGCCATAGTTATGTGGAACTGAAAACAGACAGCGAATGTGAGGCATAAACACAAAAGTTGCAGTAAATATAAATCTTCCCTATGTGTAGAGTCCTTTCTTGGAAAAAACTTTGTCATCTTCTCTCTGTTAGGACATTCTGGTTTGAAAAAAATATGGGTTTTTTTAAATGCTTTCAAATTTTTGTTGGCAGCTGAAATAATGGATAAGCTGGTAGGGAGCAGAAAGAAATGTGCTTAGTGCTCCGGTGTTGCACTCGGGTGGAGGCAGACTGGGTGGTCGGGTATTGCAGCAGCTTATCTGGCAGCTGCTGGTTGAAGGCACCTTCTAGTGGAACAGCATGAGAGGTGACATTTGGAGGAATGATGTCAAGAACGGATCACCCTCTGCATGGCCTTTCTTCTCCTCACTCCTCTCCTGGGGTGTTTTCCAGTATGAGTCAGAGTACCCTCACTTGCTCTTGCCAGGTTATTTCTTGTTGTAATCTGCCAGGAGGTGGTCCAGGCTTGCAAAGCTGCCTCCTCCCACCTGGAGGTGGGACTGTTGTCAGGATCCAGTGACTGCCAGTGGCAGAGGAGATGGGATTAGTCATGCTGGAGGCTGGGAAGACCCTTGCTGGGGTTGGGTGCTCTTCTCCAGCTGTGTGGTGGCCGTGCTCAGATGTCCTCATTGTTATTCACTTCTTAGCAGCCAGTTTTTGCTCACATTTTCTCCCTGCTCTCTGCTGACCTTCCTCTGTGTTTTTTTCCTCAGGTCGAAAGCTGAGAGGAAAAGCCTTTTATTTTGTCAATGGCAAGGTGTTCTGTGAAGAAGATTTCCTGGTAAGCACACAGCTGACCCTTGTGCTGGCACGTCTCAGCCTCTCCACAGACCCACAGCCTTTCTGCCTGGCAGCTTTGCCCACGTTTCACACGGTATCCTGCCTGGCCCTTCTGCTCCCCCTTTATCCAGGGCCAGCCCCAGACATGGTGGCTGCCCACATGTGGTGCTGGAAGTAGCCAAGGGAAGGACCACGGTTTTGCAGTGCAGAGCCTGTAGTTGTAACCGTAGCCTCTTGCAATGGCTCCTTCAAAGCGTGTCTCTGTGGCCATGCTGTGGAGACAGGAGTGAGATGAACAGCTACAGAAGAATCAATGAGTGAATGATGAGCTTCCTGATGAGCTGGTTTTGCTTGGCCATCTTAATGGATATCTTTCCGTTGCCCTCAAGGGATTTTGTGTGAATGTACCTGAGCATGAAGCAATTCCATGGTCCTCTCCTTGGCTGGTGGAAATAAAAAGCCATATATGCCTGTGCCCTCAAGCCCTCATCGATTAAGCCTTTACTGAGACTTGGGAAAATCATATTCACGTGTTTATTGGGAAAGTCTAGTGATTTCTGTCAGAGAGAAGTGAGTTAATCTTCTTTGCTCTTATCAGTCTCTTCTACACAGGCTGAAAATTGAAAGATTGGTTAAATGCATCTAAAATATTTCATTTTGCCAGTTTGGATTTCCACCATTCAGGCAGGACCGAAACCTTAGACAGATGATGTGTTGTGCCTGAGGTGCATGTTGTGGACCTGATGGGCAGTTCCTTAGCATTAGATCTTAGGAAATGCAGCAAGAAAGGTGTTCTGGGCCAGACTTGAATGTTACACTACCAGAGAGCTGGGACAATACTACTGAAGAGGCTCCAGTAGACCTGTAACTGTGTAAGCAAAGGAAGGTTTTGGCTTTCTGAGCCTATATATACAGATGGTGTGATACAAATTTGTGATAAACACAAGTAAGTTCCTGGCATGTAGATTTACATGGTCAAATAAGAATGTAAGTCTTATTAGTAAATGCCTTATTTGCATGTGCATTTTTGGTATTTACTTATATTCTTAATTAAACTTAAATTTAGGACTTGAAAGTTGCAGGAACTTGTACTCCTTCTGAACAGTAGAAGTCTGATGTCTTTGTAGAATATCCTCTGGGGACTCATCCACAGCTTCATATACTGAAAAAATCACTGGGAAGTTTGGCTTGTGTAAGGGGTACAGAAAAAGGCCAAGCAAGTAACATCCCATAATATGCTGTTGTTTATGCTCGACTAGCTTTGTGAAATTTTAAGCCAATTCTTTTTTGTCCTTGCAGTATTCTGGTTTCCAGCAGTCAGCTGACAGGTGTTTCATTTGTGGTCACTTGATAATGGACATGGTAAGTGATAATTGCTTTAGGAGAAAAAAATCCCACAGCTTTTTAGAAGAATGCATGAAAAGCAAAATATATTCATATCCAGTGCTGCCTGTTATCATCTGGTAGCCTGCCTAGTGTGAGATTGGTAGCAGAAAGAAAATCCACTAAGCCTTTTGTTGATTTTTGCAAGGTAGTGAAGCTGGCATCCCGCTGTATGTGATGCAGAGACGTGGCTCTGCCTGTTTTCAGTGCAAATGGAAAATCAGAGCCTTCAGCTCTTTCATCCCCTTTCGGGCTTCCCTGGACAGTGTATTTGTAATCCTGGTGATGCTTGCTGCTCAGAAGTGCCATGGCTCTGCAGTGCTCCCTTGCTGTGGGACATCAGTGTGGTTCTGCTGGGCCTGTCTTTCCTGTAGTCAAGCCCTGATTCCCATGTACCTTCATGATGAAACTGCTGTCTTGTTGCTGCTTGTTGTGGGTACTGGAAGGTGGTGGGCTGATACCTTGGGGAGTAAGTTCAACGCAGAGTATGCGATCCAGACCTCAGTTCATGTCTGCCCAAGTCCTTGAAATCTGTTCAGTAGATGTGTGGACATCCCACTGAAGCAGGCATTTCTTATTAGCCTACAACAGGTACCATCTGGTCAAGATTTGCACGGAGTGGGTCACAGCTCAGGGGGTCAGCTGGACTTTAGCCAGCACTGGGCAGGATTCAGTTGTGGGTGATTCAGAGGGAGACAAATTCATGGTCATGTAGCTGGAGAGCTATGGCTGAGGCAAAGAAATTAGGGATTTCTGAGTGGTTAGTTCACAGCATGCCTCCCAAGGTTTTCTGATGCTTATTACTAATTATCTTTGCTTGCTGGCTTACACTGGGAAGCATTAAAATTGGAAAAGCTGTTTTATACTTAGAAGTCATATTCCAGGTAGTAATTGCTGCCCCAAAGCCAGCAGGTGAATTGCAGCTGTTGAGTTCAATACAGTTTCCATGGTCTGTGTTAATTAGAAAGCCAGGCTAGCGAGTACAGAGCTCTTGGATATCTAAGGTATTATGCAGACGTAGCAATAGTATTTATTTCAGCCTCTCATGGAAAATATAAAGATGTGTTTCCTTTTGTTGGCCTGGTACATCTTGCCTTGTGATCCTGCTAAGTTCAGTGGGCTTCAGAAATTATTTTCTTTCCTTTAAATTCTGTCACTTCTATCCTTTGTAATGCTAAATACCTTGACTGAGGCTCTAAATTGTTTTCTTACCTATGCTAATAATTCATTTCTCTGGAACTAGGTGATATATATATTGATTCCAGCTGCCCTTTCCATCCTTGTTAACTCATTTTTCAGATGAGGTGCTGCCCAAAAAAAAAGAAACAGCCCTGCTGATGAATATGCAGCATTGTCTGATGTAAAGCTGTGTGTTTATTATTTTCGCCTTTATTGGCTGTTAATATGCTTTTTTCCTGTCTCATGGTCTGTTGCAGATCCTGCAGGCTCTAGGGAAATCATATCATCCAGGCTGTTTCCGATGCGTGGTCTGCAACGAGTGTCTGGATGGTGTGCCATTCACTGTAGACTCTGAAAACAAGATCTACTGTGTTAGAGATTACCACAAGTAAGGACAAAATTTTTGTGGTTTAACCCCAGCTGGCAACTAAGCACCACACAGCCACTCGCTCACCCCGCCCCGGTGGGATGGGGGAGAGAATCAGAAGGGTGAAAGTGGGAAATCTCGTGGGTAAAGATAAAACTAATTTAATAATTGAAATGAAATAAACATTAAAATATTATTATTAATAATAATAGTGATAATAGATATACAAACGAGTGATGCATAGTGCAGTTGCTCACCACCTGCTGACCAATGCCCAGCTCATTCCCAGATAGCAATCCCAGAGGAGAGAAAATCCCAAAACCCCAATTGCAGAAGAGAGAGAGAGAGAGAGGGAGCTTCTCAGCCAACCCTCATCTATATACTGAGCATGATGTTGTGTGATACGGAATATCCCACTGGCCAGTCTGGGTCTGTTGTTCTGGCTGTGCTCTTCCCCCTCAGCTTCTGCACCTGCACACTAACAAGGCATGGGAAGTTGAAAAGTCCTTGATTTCTTAGCAACAACTAAAAACACCAGTGTATATTATTCTCATACCAAATCCCATACTGAATCCAAAACACAGCGCTATTCTAGCTAGTGAGAAGAAAATTAGCTCTATCCCAACTGAAACCAGGACAAAAATAAACAGCAGAGATGCTCCAATCAGCAAGCCTCTAATTTAGCTTTTCAGCGAGTTAGGAAGCATGGATTAGTAAAATAGGGACAGGATTAGAAGGCAGAAGTTTGAGGATGGGGCTAGACCCTAAAAATTCTGATGTCTCTCCTCTTGCCCTGCCATTGACTTTCTTTGTAACTCTGAGGAAGTCACTTAACCCCTGCCTGGGCTTCAGCTACCCTTCTCCCAGGCAGAGGTATTGAGAAATAGTGCTCGTGAAGTGTTCAGTGATATAAGAAATCAGTCTACTCTGAAGCAGATTTATTCACTGTGAATGCCTGTCGAAATCAATGTGAATTGCTTTTTGAGTAGTTGCAGGGCTGAGTTTGACTTCTAAAGAATGCTCTTAGAAATCAAAGTGAAACTTTTATCCAGCTGTAAATTAAACAACTGGCAAATCCACTTAAAAAACCACTTGTCATTTAGCAAAGTAAAATGGCTAAATGGCTTTTAGCTGGTAGTTATGATATTAGAGCTGCATACATTTGGAGTGTCCATTTGGCTCGCTTTGTTCCTTGCTCCATTTTCTGAGCAGGCAGAGTGTTAAGTGTTGCACAGGCAGCCCCAGGAACTGCTCTGTGTTGTGCCAAGATTAAGAGTTGCCTCCGTGTGCCACTGTTGTTCTGAAATGATGCGCATTTCCTTGCCATTTCATTTAATTACTTATTTATTGTGTTACGTTGTGTTATAAGGCCTCAAGGAACCTTATGGTCCCATGGTGTTTTTTCTGAGGTTTCCTGCCCCAGTGCAAGGCTGCCACTTTTCTTAATGTGTTTTTCTGGGGACGGTCCTGCTCAGTTTCTCCCCATTTTCTTCCAAGTCTCTCAGTAGCAGCCAAGAATTCTCAAGTGGGTTTGTTGGGTTTTTTTTCTGCCACTAAATGTAAAATGTAAGATCTATTTTTGCCTGACTGAGCAATGTGTGCCAAGCATTACTTACAATCAATCCTAAAATTAATTTATGATATCAGAATGCAAAGCTTTCCTGTGGATAAGTTATTTACAGCTGCAGCTTTTCGTTATTGCTGAGAACATACAGCAATATCTTTTTTATGTTGATCTATAACTTGCCTTCACTTTCTCGTTGCTCTTCCAGAGTTTTAGCTCCGAAGTGTGCAGCATGTGGGCTTCCCATTCTACCCTCCGAGGTGAGAGCCTTTTATTTTGTATCCCCTCTGAGGAGAGAGCGTCATGTCTCAGGCCTTGCTGTCTCTCACACTTTATCCTATGTCAGGACAAATGTCCTTGGGGATGGGGAGAAACGATCACTTCCTCTAGCGTGCAACCTTTTTGACCTATGCTCATACACTGAGATGTGACCCTTCTTTTGCTCAATAATGAAGCTTATTTCTGCTGAGCCAGGCTGTTTTTTTCAGCTCCTGCAGGATTATACTGCTCTTAGTTTTATGTTCAGGATGCCTTTTTTTCTTTCCCTTATGTCAGTAAATGCTGGTGGTGCTCGTGAATGACCTCTGTGTGACCTTCTGGGATGAACTCGTTTTAATACTTGGAGGAAATGAATCTTGGGCAAAACCAATTTAAAGTGCTGAGAAAAGTGTTGTATTGAAATTACCAAATCATTAATGCCTGATTTGGGATAGATGTGACTGTTGAACAGAGTAGCCTCAAGATCGCAGGCCCTGGTCCTCATGGGGGACTTCAATCACCCTGGTATTTGTTGGATAAGCAACACGGACAGGCGCACGCAGTCCAAGAGGTTCCTGCAGTGCACAGAGGATAACTTCCTGAGGCAGGTGGTGGAAGAGCCGACAAGGAGAGGTGTGCTCTGGACCTCGTTCTTACTAACAAGGAAGGGCTGGTTGGGGATGTGAAGGTTGGGAGCAGCCTGGGTTGCAGCGACCATGAGATGGTGGGGTTCAGAATCTCATGTGGGAGTTATAAGCCAATAAGTAGGGTTGCAACCCTGGACTTTAGGAGAGCCAACTTGGACCTCTTCAAGGACCTACTTGGGGGTATCCCATGGACTAGAGTGTTGGAAGGTAAGGGAGCCCAAGAGAGTTGGTTAACATTCAAGTACCACTTCCTCAAGCCCAAGACCGGTGCATCCCTCAGAGAAAGAAATCAGGCAAGAGTGGCAGGAAACCCGCATGGATGAGCAAGAAGCTCATGGAAAATCTCAAAGGGAAGAGGCAAGTCTATGAAATGTGGAAAAAGGGTCTAGCTACTTGGGAGGAATACAGGAATGTGGTCAGGGACTGCAGGGATGCAACTAGGAAAGCACTGGAATAAGCTGCCCAGAGAGGTTGTGGAGTCTCCATCTCTGCAGATGTTCAAAACCTGCCTGGATGCCTTCCTGTGCAACCTGGTGTAGGCAACTTACTTTGGCAGGGGGACTGGACTGGATGATCTCCTGAGCCTTCCAACCCCCACCATTCTGTGATTTCTGATGTGACATTTTAGAGGATATCTGCAGTCAATGATGAAGCTTTACTGTAAAAATAACTGCAGGTGGCAGGATTTATTTGTGGTGTCCAACCAGCAGCTCAAACGCATTTGTTCAACGTTCACATTGTTGCAGGAAGCAATCTACAGAGTGCATTTGTCTGATCCTGCTGTAATCTTTTGTATTTTCTCTTTTGCTTGAATGCTTACAGGGTTCTGATGAGACCATTCGGGTTGTGTCCATGGACAAGGATTACCACGTGGAATGTTATCACTGCGAGGTAGGTCAGCAGCTTTCTCGGGGAGTGAGCACTTAATAGTGATAACTACTGTTATTTTTAAGATGGCAATAAGTCTCCTCCCTTCCAGTGGCAGTAGATGAGCAATTCAAGCCTTGCATTGTGTGACCCTTTCTGCCAGTGGCTGAGAAATTTCTAGTTTGAGGACAAAGTTTAGAGCAATGTGTCTCAGCTGCAATTTCATTTGCTGTCCACAAAATCATGGGCAAAGATTTAATTATCATTTTTCAACTTGGCATTTTATTTTTTAATGAAGGAAACATGGTGCCAGTAAGGTTCTATGCCGCCTTTCAGAAGTCGTGAGCTCCTTGAGATCACATAAGTGTATCTGATTTCCAAGTCAGATTGTTCAAAAATGCTAAGGTGATGCCTGATCCTGTCTGGTGTAAGTTACCTTCACTCTCATGGAAAATGAATGTATCATTTGGGCTAGAGAAAGGATTTTGGCTACAAAAAAATCCCAAGAGGTGCCAGCTCTTAAACACCATTTCGTCTCTGAGTAGGGCTTCACAGTGAGCCTTCACCCTTTTGCTCTCTGAATTAAAATAAATAGATGTATTCTCTCACTGTGCTCGTATGCAGTGGAAAGAGGCCCTGACACAGCAGGCTGGTTTCACATCAGTACAACTGCAATTAATGTAATGTGAAGAGGTGAATCCTACCTGAGAGTGTAAGGAGACACGAGCGTGTTTAAAATACACAGGCTTGCACCTTACCACGAGATAAAGCTTATTCAATAAAACTGTGTAAAACAAATTTGTACAAGGCTGCCCCTCAAAATGCCTATGTCAGATGCTTTCCTTTTCGTGGCAAATGTTGGACTTCACAGGAAGGAGCTGTTGGCTGTGTGTCTTCAGTCCTTGTCACAAAGTCACCCTCCTGGAAGCCAGACCCCACTTCATGCAGGAAGATGAACACATGCTCTAATAATCTGCACGCTCTGTCTTTGCAGGACTGTGGGATGGAACTGAACGACGAAGACGGACATCGCTGCTACCCACTAGATGAACATTTGCTTTGCCACTCCTGTCATCTGAAACACATAGAGAACGGCACTACCCCAGCAGCTGTGTACCAGCACCACTACTAGCCAGCCTGGCCAACGTGGGAAAGCCCAGACAGAAGACCTGTTACATGATCTCCCTCTCCCCACCCTCATCTGATTTCCTGTGCATGTTTTTCGCCAGTCGGCAGTGTTCCTGTAAAAGGATATGAGAGATTTGTGCTGGATTCCCAGAGTCTGTATGATTGTGAGTTCCAGCTGTATCAAACCATGCCTACTTGACCAAGAATGTGGCATGTTATCTAAACTGATCAGTTTACTTTTACGTGCCTTTTTCTGCTCTCTGGAGATTCCTCTTGCTCATTTTGGAAGATTCTTCAGTGAAAGCACAACTTGCTGTCGTGCCTATGGACTCAGATCATGCCATGCACAATTAAAAAGCCAGAGGCTGGCTTGCCTGCCTGCCTGCTGGGGACATCCCGTCAGTCTAAGTGTTTCCTGACAAGCACATTTCATCAGATTCCCTGAAGGACATCAGTCTATTAATACCAGCTTTTAGACACTCTCTCTCTCTTTTTATTAATTCTTTAAGAAAAGAAAAGAAAGAGGTCTGTGCAAAATGGCACGCTCAGACCTTCTGTTTGATTCCCTGAACTCCAGTATCAAGTCTGTCTGTAAAAGCACCAACTCTCCAAGCACAAACCAAGTGTTCTGCCTGGCAGGTGAAGGCCAACATCCCATTTTAAACAGAACAAAAAACTGGAACAAGCTAGGCTAAGCTACCACAGTGACTTGGGGCCCAGGCTTGTGTGTCAGCGTGATACGCAGGGGCCAGTCTGCTGCGTCAGAGTCTGAATAGTGGATTATATTTGGAAAGGAAAGATCGGGATGCTGAAAGTGTGGACACTGGGGAAATCCAGCCTCGTTCTTGCTTGCAGAGCTTGCTTTGGAAAAAAGCTCTGTACACAGACACTTGCCTGAGTTTTTCAGCTTATCCCCATAGCTCAGCCCCCAGCTTGGCCACTCCTTTCCGTGGTGTTTACCCAGCACAAAGCCATTTCATAATGGTGCTTATTTAGAGCTCTGGGAACAAACTTGAGATCGTTAGGAAGGCTTTGTTACACAGGGATTTAGAGCCCAGCTCCACAACCTGTACTCAAATGAGTATGTTGGTATAAACAGATTTGCTCCCATGAATAATAACAGCTTATCCGAGCAAGGGGTTAGTGAGTTTGGCACTTGCTTTCTGCTCTGCTGAGAAAGCAGAGGCAGATTGTTTCTCTTTTTGAACCCCCCTGCTTTATAGTCAAAGAAATCTGCTCCCCCAGTGTTTGTTACATGTAAGATAAATATGCCTGCAGTGCATGTTCTGTAGGTACCAAAGCTGTGCAGCTCCTCGTGTACAGGTACAAAGTTTTTGTTTAAGAAAAAGCTTTTCATTTAAAGTCTCAGATGCAAGCAGGGATCTTAGCTACCCTTTCCAACATATTGTGTGGAAAACTAGTTAAATCCTAATGTGTCCATGCTAAATATGGATTCAGTAAATTCAGTTCTGATTGATAGAGGACAGGATTAAATTCTTGAAGACCTTTTTTAGTGAGGAAACTCACTAAATTAATAAATTAGCTGAGCAGTGGCACTGGGACTCCTGACATGAGCCTGTGCCAAGAACCCACTATGGTTCAACCAAACCTCTGTTCCCATAGCATGAATGTAGCTAGACAGATGCTTGAACTTCACACCATGGAGTCAGACTGCCTCATGTACTTATCTGGAACAACACAGGTGCTGGCTGCAGCAAGCTGCCTCTCTCTGCCTGTGCTAATAAATACCATGGGCCTGTTTTAAGTGATACAAGTTGCTGTGCTAAGTATTAAACAGAGGCACAAGCATCTGCTGTAAAACAGATGAAGACCAGTGGCATGTTAGCACCCTCCTACACATCTGTATCAGCTTGCCTCGGCTGGAGTGTGAATGTCTGAAACTGCCCAGGCCTTGGTGGATTTGGCGTGGTGTTGTGTTGGACCAGGAGACCATCCAGCCTCCTGCCCCATCCAGCTGTAAGCACCTCTGCCTGTTGCTGCTGCTCTTCAGGATGGGGATGGTGGCACATGGCTGGAAGTCGGTCCTGTGCTCGAAACCATCCAGAGCCCCAGCTTTTGTGTAGCTTGGCTCTGTGGTGCCGTTTCTCCTGGGGACATGCATCCCCCCAGCTGAGTGACTGAAAGCTCAAGGGAGTGGAATTTCTCACTGCAGTATACATGGCTCTGGGGCATATTTAATTTGGAGAGTTTTATCTGTGATTTTAGAGCAGGTAAAATTGACCCCAAATATGTGAGCTCCCTGGAGCCTTAAATTCGGCCTCCAGATGCTGGGCAGCAGAGGGATGGGAACCAACACAAAATAGATCTGGTGCTGTATCCAGGCAATATGGATTGGGGCAACAAAACACCCAGGGCAGATCCTGCAGTGCTCTGGCCCTGGTGTGCCGTGTCAGCTTGTGTGCTGCAGCATGGCTGGGCATGGGGAGGTGTCTCAAGATGCAACTGTGATCTTAGGAGTTTCTAAAGGGACTGAGGTGGGAAATAACTCCAGCTGAGTGTCCCTGGTACATAATTCAGATAGTCCTGGGCAGGTGGTTCCCCTCTCTGAGCTTCCTTTGGCAGCAAAGGCGGTGAGGTATCAAAGTGGCTTCTGGAAGTGAGTTGGAACAGCAGCCGTGATCTGTTATTCTGTCTCTGAGAGACCAGCTACTACATGGCTCATGCTTTTGCTAGCTCTTGATTTTTAGAGCAGCCCCTCATGCACATTTTCTAGCCTCCGTTTTGGAAAGATCTGGAAACACTAGCGGGGCTGATATTTTCTTTTTAAGGTATGGTTTAAATGACTGTCTCACTCTTGCAGCCTTCCCCACAACCTCAAGATAAGTGTGCAGAAAGGGGAGGGGGAGAAGGACAATTTTCCTTTGTGGAAAGCCTGGAGCAGCCCGTTTCTGGAACCTCCTTTGCATCAACAGAAAGTTTGGCCTCTGTTCCCACATGGTATCTGGTTACTCCTGTCAGCCATCCCATATCCCTCAGCGCTGGGGAAATGGAGGCTGCCCTACTTTCAGTTTTGAGGTGCAGTGTAAATTATTAAGTGCCAATGCTCTCCTTTCCTGTATTTATGCAGAACTAGAAATGACAGTGTGAAGCTATTGGAAATAGGAGCGTGTGAGTTGGTGGTTTTGAAGCTCAAGTGTCTGCTGCATTACCCTGTTCCCCTCTCTGTGCCAACTCGCACCACTCTTATCTTTAGGAGTTTGAATTCATTTAAGCTCCTCGTTATTCCTGCCTTTTCTCCTAGGCTGTGGTATTTGAGTGCTGATTGTCCCTGGCTTGTCCCTGGCTCTGCAGCTGTCTGATGGTGGGTCTGGTGGGGAGGCTTCTCCTCCTCCTGACCCCCACACCAGGCATCTGTGGAGCTGCTAGCCCTGCCTGCCTGCCTTCAGGGAGCATCCCCAAAGGAAAAAAACACAGAGGCAGGTAGCTCTGGAGCTGGAGGTGCGAGGCTTTGCATGCTCTGCAGAAGAATTTCAGACATTGTGTTAAATTCTGCCTGTCACCTGGCTGATAGGCGTTGGGTTTTGTTGTTCATGTGAACCTTGAGAACCTTGTTTGTCTTTTTATTTACTAAGGTGCCAAAATGTGCTATGAAAAGTTAGTCTTTATTCCTCCCCCAGCATGTTCTTCTGACTGGTTTTAGGGTAAGGGACTCTTGGAAGTCCGTTGTGCTGGTAATGAGTAACTCAGCTGCAAATAGTTATTCAAGTGAATTCCCTGAAACTTGTTTTCAGGAGCCAGAGCTTAATAGATTTTTTTGTTCAGATCTTGCTGTTAAATTTCTATTGTTTAGAATACAGAAACTCATTTAAATAGGGATTTTTACATAAAAGCCGGGGGGAAAGCCCCAGCTGTAGAAGCAGCAGACATTTTTGTGTAATTTAAGTGTAAGAAACACCTGTGATCAAAGTGATTTAGGAAACTGCCCTGATGTTAAACACAGGGAACAGCATTTTCAGACATGCTGGTGAGGAGCATTTGATGAGGTCTGTGGCTCTTCAGTTTCTGAGTTTCATGTGGGGGCTTTTAAAATCTTTTCCCAGTCTTTCAGTGTTTAAATAATTTTTTTTGTAGATCTTTTTACTACAAAGTGAATTGCTTCTTGGTCTGGAAATAGTGGAGTCTCATCAGTAGATGTGAAAGGGGGAAACTGGGTTCGTAAGAGCCACCTGCCAGAGACCCGCCTTTCACACTTCTGCGCCCATGCCAAGTGTTTGTAGATGGATTTTGAGCAACCTTCTGTGCATGAATATAAGGACGAGTTGACCCAGGCTAGTTGCTGGGGAAACATCTCTGGAGTCAGTACCTGCAGGCAGGGAAGGGCTGTGGCCACGTACGTGTCCCTTTTCCACCATCCTCTGAGGCCGAGCGCCTGTGTCACGGGAGAAGCTGGGAAGGAGTTTGCCTCTCTTGTCCCACTGCATTTGTGTGTTCATTTTTCTTTTCCATTTCTGCGTCCTGCTGCTCGCTGGCTGCAGTGGCATGAGGTATACTTTCCAGAACTGATCAGGCAGATGTCTTCCTGCCTTGAGCCCAGAGCTGCTCACCCATCCTAAGAAGCAATATTAAGCTTTTCAGAGCAATAAAAATCCTCACCCTGCCTTCTTCCAGGGCAGTTGGAAGCTCATGTGGCAATATGCATCAGTAGCCCACTAAGACAAGAGGAGAGATGGGAAGAAACTGCCCTCGCGTGAAGATAGATGGTGCAGAGCCCCTGAAGGCAGAGGACAGGGATGCCCTGGCCCCGGTGCAGGGATGACCGGGCTGTGGTTCCCATCCCTGCTGACACCAACCCTCTTCCCCACGCAGCAGGTCTGCGGTGCACAGCCAGACGGGGACCTGGGCGCACACATGCAGGCCGTGGCTTTCTGTATCTGGAAAGCAAATCCAGAGCCTGGCTGACGATACTGAACGGTACTAATTATTCTGTTTGTATTTCCTTCAAAGCTCAACTCCAGGAGAGAGTATTTTAGGATTTGTGCCGGTGTGACTAACCTTAGCCAGCTGTGAACACAGCCCTCTTTTCTTCTGTGCTGTTGGATATTTATAAAGACTGAAGGCTGGCAGCGGGGGTAACGCCGCTGGCCTGTTGTCATGTCAGTGATTAAAGACAATACTGTAAAGCAGTGTTCAGCGTCAAGTCTTTCGTAAAATGACAATGACTGTCACTGCCCGGAGTCCACGGGGAAGGAGTTATGCTGTGAAATGATCATAGAATCATAGAATGTTGTGAGTTGGAAGGGACCCACAAGGATCATCAGTCCAACTCCTGTCCCTGCACAGGACAATCCCAACATTCAGACCATGTGTCTGAGGGCCTTGGCCAAATGCTTCTGGAATCTTGTCAGGCTTGGTGCCGTGACCACCTCCCTGGGGAGCCTGTTCCAGTGCTCCACCACCCTCTGGGTGAAGAACCTTTTCCTCATGGCCAACCTCAGCCTTCCCTGGCACATCTTCCTGACATTTCCCCTGGTTTCCCAGCTCCTGCCTTCCTCCTCT